TACCTTGCCCAGTTTTCTTTATTTTGACAAATAGCACCACTATCTATATGTATCTAGTTGTTCAAGCAAAAGGTCTGTGTGTTGTCTATATTTGTGTGGTTATTTGAGAATGGCTGGCTTGCGTAGGTGTCATCTCCCCTTTTCTTTACTGTAACTACTGTACTTCTTAGGATATGAGGCACAAAGTGAATACTCGATAGTTACTTGTTGAATACATTTGTTTTAGTAATTAATTGCACTTCTAGTCTTTTCAGTGCACTGCAGGATTTTGTTTGCCTTTTGACCTTTAGATTTTCCTCCCTCTTTAGAGTTAGCACCAGCTTTTCCCTCACCTATCAATACTAAAGTGTGTTTGGGTAGTAGTCTAATACAGAGATTACTTTGAAAAGTTAAAGGAGGGGGGCGGGATGGGAGAATATGGAAGGTTTATGGAGGAAGGATAATTTAAACTGGACCTTGAAAGAAGTGGAATTTTAATATATGGAGGATGAGTAAAGGAATAAGACTTTTCTGGCAAAAGAAATCACTAAGAAAAAAATCATAGCGGTAGAGAATCACTGAGTATTTTGTGATTATGGCCAGTAGACCAATCTGTGAAGGGGTAGAATCAAAGCTACAATTGGAAAAGTAGGATGGAGGTGATTTGTGTAAAAAATAATACCTAAAATTCACCCAGAAAATATGAAGCTGCGTGGTGAAGGCATTCATTATGAACTCTACACTAAAACTGTTAAACTATAAATGAAAGCTGCATAGATAGAGTATGAAATTAAAATCTGTTCCACTAGATTATGACCAATTTCCTTATGAGATGCATGTAGATGAATTTTAGAGGATTTCACAGAAATATGCTGCTTTTGACAATGTTAATATTTCTTTTAAAATTCTTCATATCCTCAGCATTCTCTCAGATTTGTTGTGAAAATCTGTAAATACAATTATTCCTCTGTTGTCTCATGAAAACACATATTTAAGTCTCTTCCTTTCTGCAGGGAGTTCAGTTTTTCCTAGATTTTAAGGATACATAAACCCTCTCCCGCGGCAATGAAAATGAGGTGATGGGAGGGAGGGACTTTTGGTTTCCTGGAATTTTTCAGTTAAGAAGTCTCCCTTGGCCTCAGCATAAGGGAATAATTAATACATAGTATGGAATAGTGTGAGAAAATTTTCTATTTCAAGAAGAACAATTGCTGCAGAGAAAATGGATCCACTTTCCCAGTTCTTCCCCAGAGCACATTTGTGTTGGCTGCTTGCTTTTGTGAATTGGAGGCCACCCAGCAAGTTGCTGTTTTTAGCAGTGATTATTTCACCAGACTCATTTGTATGTATCTTTATTTTATTTTTCCAGAAATACTTTACTCTTTGGGTGGCTTGCATTGCACTCAGACAGGGATGTGCCTGAGACTATTGGGCACAGGCATATTGTACATAAATATGTAAGGGAGGAATATCTTCCTTACTGCAGTCGGATTTAGGATGGTTGGAGAGCTGCCTTCTAAAATATGGAGGATCATCATGTGGGAAAATAAGTAGACATTACCTTGAGCTCCAGAGGGCAGACCTAAGGCTAATAATCAGAAGGTATAAAGAGGTTGACCTTCCTTAAGGACTAGAACTTCATTACAATTAGAGTTTCTCAAAAAGGGTGGGTTACCTAGTCAGGTAGACCTTTGTGTCTCTGAAAGTTTTTAAATAGAGATGGGATGCCATACTGTCAAGGATATGGTGGAGAGAATTTCTGTACTGTGTAAGAGGTTGAATTAACCTCGAAGATCCCTTTCCACACTCTGCTCATCTGCATATCCTATTGAATTTCTTTGCAATTCTTCCCTTATTTTAAGAAAAAGCCCCGATCTCACTTTTTGCTAAAGGCTTACCTAGTTAACTTCTACAGCACTTGTCTGTTTTCCACACTTAACACCAATCAATTATGGCTTTGTATTGTTAGTATAAGGTTTAAATCAACACATTGTCTTCAGATGTAAAGAACACACACATACACACTGTATTTATTACCGATGTTATGTACAACAGCTTTCCCTAACTTTTACTCCATTGTTGATTTTTTCCTGAAACTTTTGGGATTATAGGATGGGGTGAGATTCATAGAAGGAATAAGATTTTTGCTATGGCTAGTGTTTAGCTTTCCCCGCAAAGCCTCATGAACATGAGATGGGGCTTTCCTTTTTAGAGGTGGCTGAATCTGAAATGCGTGATGTCAGGGTTAAGGGTGTGTAATTACTAAACCACTACACCTGAGTGATTGGTTTGGCACTGCCCTAATCCCTATAGTCTGGATGGGACTAAAGGGGAAGAAAAAAAATGCAGTTAAGCCTTATTGCTTCCCCGCCCCGGGAGATGTTATCTAAATTTTATTATAAGAAAATAATAGGTTTAAATATAGACATTGGACTAACCCAGTCTACACTTTCAAGTCTACATTCTTCATCTGAAGCAATGCATCAGGGACATCCCTGAGTCCATATGTTTTCAAGTTCACAGTACATGAAATCAGGTTTTATTTTTTATTTTTTCATCACCCAGCCACATACAGGGGCCATTGACTCTGGAAACTTGGATGGGACCTTTTCCTATGAGGACCGGCCAGGGCTGCGCAAGTTCTCTCCTCAATGAGAATTAATGCTGTCATGCTCTATCAATGGGAAAATTCAAGAAAATAAATGCATCTGGTACAGGTTTCATGAGATCCATTCATATTTTCTATGTTCCAAACCTGCTGCTGAATGCCACTTCTCTGCTCTGTGTGTTGAACAGTTTGCGGTCTTGGAGTAGGTCTCAATTTAAAGAACTGTTATTGGCTGACCCAGAGGTTGATGCAATAGCAGCTTTGGCAGGGCTACTTGGGGAGACCAACTTTTGGTTGTGAGGCAGCATGTATCGCTTCTCGGCCTTTTGGCTAAGATCAAGTGAGGCAGCATGTAGGGGTCACAGGCTGGACATCAGTGAATTCCTCCTTTTGGTAGGCCAGGCATTGCCAGATAAATGCTTCAGCAGGAACTACACTTCAGTAGCTTTAACAATAGTATTCTTTTGTAGAATGTCCTGCTGGGACTGGTTGTGGCCAAATGGCTCCTTTTCATAAAGACACTGGTATATCACACCCACTGGCCAGACATCAACATTATTTGAGGTTTTGGTGGTTCTTTCCCAACCACAAAACACTCTGGTGGTAAGTATCAATAAGTACCAGCAACTTGTGATGTTAGCTCCATGTCATCCACTGATTGTAGTTATCATAATCCATGATCTTGGAAAGACCAGAATCTGTAATTTTTATCTTTCCACAGGCTGTACCATTCACTAAAAGAATATTACCTGGCTTGAGGTCATAGTGTATGATGGCAGGTTTTATTTCATTTAAGTACTTAAAGCATTCACAATCTTCAGGATAATGCATTGGGCTTCTTTCTCTGACATTAATTTGTGCTATTTCAGGTAGAAGTCCAGATCATTTCCCTCACAGTACTCTAATACTAAATAAGATGAGTCATGGTCCAGTGAAATGTAATCACACAGCTTAACTATTCTGGGATGAACTAATTCTTTTTTAATATGGTATTTCCTACCTACATGCTTGTGGTAATTCTTCTCATCTCCAGTTTTTACTTAACTGGTAAATTTTCACAGCTACATGTCTTTGCTCTGTTAGATCAAATAAACTTCAATGAAACCTCCCTATCTATCCAAAGGGAACTAAAAAGGATACATAATGAAGAAAATTCACAATTTAAAGATCACTCAATGCTCAATGACAGATATTTATTGTTACATCTTGTTGCTTTTGCTATCTTTGGGGTCATGAACTGTTGCCCCTCTGCCATCCTGCATTGGAACAAGCTGATTATGGACTGAAACCTCTACAAACTGTAAGCAAAATAATCCTTTTCCACTTTATCATTGGATTTTTGGTATTTTGTCTTAGATATGAGGGAAAAATAACTAAGACAGTTATCTATATCAAATATTGTTTATTTTTCCCATACCTTGTTTGAGGTCCTAATCTAGGTATCAGTGAACAAAATAAAGATCCCTGTCCTTGTAGAGCTTATGTGTATGTAAAGTACCAATACATAGGAGCACTTAATTTATCTTGATGGCTTTTTGTTCAAATCTTATTTAGTATGACATTATAAAGGGCCATTTATGGAATGAATCTATGGGCAGTGTACTTTACACATGTGCTCTTAATCCTTGAAATAATCTCCAAGAAGTAGATCAAGTAGTTGGACACTTTTATAAGAGAAAAACAGAAAATCATGACATTAAGGCATTTCCCCACAAAACCATGAGCAGTATGAGTATACATTATTTTAAAAAATAACTTTCATTGTGTACATTTAAGGTATACCATATGATGTTATATGATACATAGTTAATATAGCAGAAGAAATTAACATATCCATAATGTCACAGTTACCCATTTTTATTCTTTTGTTAAGAGCAACTAAAATTTACTCATGTAGCAGGAATCCTGAATATCACACAATTTTATTAGCTATAAATCTCTAGATTTGTTCAGCTTATATATCTGTTACTTTATAACCTCTCACCTATATCCTCTCCTTTGTGCTAATGTCCTATGGTTCCAGTTTCCCCTTTGTGCTAATGTCCTCTGGTTCTAGTATTCAGTGTTTTGTACTCTCGGCATATTTAACCTTTTAAAAAGATTCTATATCTTAGTTGGATCATGCAACATTCTCCTTCCTGTATTTAGCTTATTTCATTTAACATAAGATTTTACAAATTCATCTATGTTGTGACAAGTGGCATGATCTGCTTTGTAAAGACTAAGTATATGTAAAGCATATTTTCTTCATTCATTCCTTGATGAACACAATTATGGCTTATGTCTAGATGCCTCCTCAAAGTGTCTGGAACCAGGTTATGATGCTGGGATTAAGTGGGTGATGCCGAGATTAAGGGTGTGTTATTACTAAATTAGTCCACTGATTGCTTTAGAATAGATCTGGTTGTGCATAATGGGAAGGCCCATCCTGGGTGTGGGTGGCACCACTAAAGGGTAAGTAGCCTGGGAGAGATAAAAGGGAAAGACAGGTTGCTACTGCTTTGCTACCTTACTGTCTTCTGCCTGCCATGCACTCTTTCTTCTCTTAAATGTGCCTTTGCCAAGCTATCTTGCATTGGAGCCAGCCAACTATGAACTCAAATCTCTACAAACTGGGAGGTACAGTAAACCTTTCCTCTTTTAACTTTAACTTTGGGTGTCAAGTATTCTGTCGGAGCAATGAGAAAATTAATCAAGATAGACACTTAAATTATTTGATTCCTCAGCTATTAATAGTGTTTCAGTAAACATAAGAATACAGATGTTTCTTAGACATATTTATTTCATATTTTTTGCTTATATATAACAATAGGATAGCAAGATTATATGGTAGATTTATTTTGTTCCGCAACCTGCCTTGAAAGCACAAGGACCTGAGTTTGATCCCTGTTACCAAATATATATATATATATATATATATATTTCTGACAATAGTGGCTAAAAGTTCTCTTACTTAACACCTTCACCAACATTTGTTATCTCTTGACTTTTTAATAATAGCCATGTAATTAGTATGATACACGATCAACACTCAGAATTCAGTAGCCTTCTTGTACACAAATAACAGACTCACAGAGAGAGAAATTAGGGAAACAATTCCTTTCACAATAACATGAAAAAAAGTATCTAGGAATCAATCTAATGAAAGAAGCAAAAGACCTCTACACTGAAAATTATATGAAAAAGGAGATGGAAGAGGATATAAGAAAATGGAAAGATATCCCCTGCTCCTAGGTAGGAAGAATCAACATAGTGAAAATGGCCATACTACCAAAATTGCTATACAAATTCAATGCAATGCCAATTGAAATTCTAACAGTATATTTCAGAGAACTAGAAAAAAGAATCCAAAAATTCATTTGGAACCGGAAGAGACCTAGAATAGCAAAGCCACCCTAGGCAATAGAGACATGGCAGCGGGTATAACAATTTCCAATTTGAAACTATACCACAAAGGCACTGTGATAAAAACAGCATGGTACTGGCAAAGAAACAGACCTGAAGATCAGTGGAACAGATTGGAAGATACAAAAACAATATACTCCAGATTTACTCAGCTACCTCGTCTTTGGCAAAGGAGCCAACCATCCTCACTGGAGGTAAGATAACCTCTTTCATATATGGTGTTGGAAAAACTGGATTTCAACCTTCCAAAGATAACTAGACCCTTATCATTCACCATGCACTAAACTAAAATACAAGTGGATTAAAATCTAAATATTAAAAAAAAGAGTCACTAAATTTGCTGGAAGATGAGTTAGGCAGAACTCTTGAAGACACTGGCATAGGAAAAGACTTTATGAACAAATCCTCAGTAGCATGGGAACTAGCAGAAAGAATCAACAACTGGGATCTCATCTTATTAAGAAGTGTCTGCACTGCAAAAGAAGCTATCAACAGAACCATAAGACAGCATACAAAGTGGAAAAAATTTTTACCAGCTGCTCCTCAGACAAAGGACTCTAATCTAGAATATATAAAGAACTAAAAAAAAAAAGCCCCAATTCAAAAATGGTCATCTGAAATGAACAGACATTTCTCAGACAAAGAAGTAAAAGCTTCAAGTAAGTATATGAAAAAATGTTCCACATCACTGGGCATTCAAGAGATGCAGCTGAAAACAACACTGAGATTCCACCTCACCCCACAAAGAATGGCTGTTATCAAGAAATCAACTATAATAGCACACAAGATCCTAATGGGATAATTAATAGTGTGAAATAGGAAGAAAAGGGCGAAAGGTGTAGGGAAAGTGGTAAGGGTAGGGGAAAGGGAACAAGGGAAAAGAAAAAAATATGAGAAAATGAAAAAATGGAAATAAAATGTTTGTAAATGTGGAGAGGAAGAGGGGGTGCAAGGAGGGCAGGGACAAGGGGAAAAAATGATAACCAAGACCGTCATGTGAAGGTACAGGATCCCAGTAATGAATGTAACTGTATTGTGTACCTAGATTGTACCAATAAACTCAATAAAAAGAAAAGAAAAAAATAATCAACCAATAACAAATGTTGGCAGGGTTGTGCGGAGAAATGAACCCTTCTCCATTGTTGGTGGGAGAGCAGACTGGTGCAACCACTATGGAAATCAATATGGAGATACCTCAAAGAGCTGGGACTAGAGGTTCCATTTGACCCAGCCAACCCTCTTGTGGGTATCTTTCCAAAAGTATTAAAGGAATCTTATCACAGTGCTATATACACACCTATGTTTATTAGTGGCACAGTATGTAATAGCTAAATTTGGAAACTGCCCATTTGCCCATTAATTGGAGACTGGATTAAGAAGATGTGGTTTTTCTATACAATGGAATATTATTACTGAGCCATAAAGAATTAGAAATTAGAGTCATTCATAGGAAAATGGATGCATATTGAGGATAAACTCCAAAGTGAAATAAATAAGTCACACATGTGTAAATATTGAATAGTTTCTCTGTTGTAACAACTATAATGGCACGTAAGATCCTAATGATATAATTGACAATGTTAAATAGGAAGAAAAGTGATAAAGGTATAAGGGAAATGGGAAGGGTAGGGGAAAGGTAATAAAGGAAAAGAAAAAAAAATATGAGAAAATGAAAAAACGGAAATAACATGTTTGTAAATAGGGAAGGGTGGAGGGGGTGAAGTGAGGGCAGGGATATGGGGAAAAAATGAGAACCACGACCTGTCATATAAAGGTACAAGATCCCAACCATGAATGTAACTGTATTGTATACCTAAAATGTACCAATAAACTCAATGAGAAAAAAAAAAAGATAGAACAAAAAAAATTCGAAAGGGAGGAAGGCCTGGATATAATGAATAGAGAAACTGTGCATGAAAGGAAAGTGCAAACAGCAATACAAATAGGCCAATCATGGGCTGAAAGTTTGATCCTGAGTGATAGTGATTTTGAGAAGTTGGAGAAACTATATTCTCCTAAAAGAATTGACTTCACTCTGCTTTCAGCAGCACCTTCACCCACTAAAGGATTTGGGAAGCAATTGTTTTCACCATATTTGCAAATGTTTGTGTATAGCAGTGGATTGTCATCAAGTCCTGTTTCTAATCCAAGACGATTTTCAACCAGAAGAAGTCAGAGTCCAGTGAAATAAATTAGACCCAGTGTTCTGACTCCTCTTAAAAGAAAAAATGAAATGGAAACCAAAAGCCAACTGAAGAGACTCTCAACTCCTGTTTCTAATCCAATATGATTTTCAGCCAGGAGAAGTCAGAGTCCAGGGAAGTGAATTAGACCTAGTGTTCTCCCTCCTCTTAAAAGAAAAGGTGAGATGGAAACAGAAAGCCAACTGAAGAGACTCTTTCAAGGCACCACCAACATGCTCTGTCTGAATACAGAGCAACTGTCTGATCTCCGTTCATGTCCAGATACTTTGGATGTCAGTAGTAACAGCACTGGCTTATCCTCAGACTCACTGGCTACAAGCAGCGCTCTTCCAGAATCTCAAATACTGTGCTCGAATTAATGCTCTCTGTTCATCTTCGTGGATGGTCTCTCTCACAAGTGACTTACTCGTTTATGATTGCTTTAACTGCTGTTTCCTACATAAAACATTCCATGAAGAAAGCAGAGAACTTTGATCCCTAATGAGGTTTAAAGTCTGACAGATTTCAACCATTCTCATGTTGTTTTTTTTGGGTATCTCTTTTCTCCAAAGTTCAATTTTGTGAAATTACTAATGTCTGGTTTTGCTTATCTCATTTTGCATCTAGTGACTAAATCTCAAATACTCATTTTTTTATCACTTAGAGAATATTTTTTGTCCTGATACGTTAGTGAGAACCTGTTTTCAAATCTGTATGTTTAAGAGTCACTGATGTGTGTTTTTTATAATGATTCTTCCCCCCAGCAGTGATACAACAGAGTTGATCAGAAATTCTCTTGCTTGAGAGATTTTTTTTTGTTCCCGTGTATGTATGACTGCATACTTTCTAATCTCTTTATTTCATAGTGATATACAAATTGCTTTTGATTATATTAAATTTTCACTTTTCCTCCTTGGCTTAAAGTATATTATTTTGTTTCCCTTTCATGTTTGAGCTGTTTTCTTGCCGTTCCTCACAGAGGGGAAGAAACATAGCTGCTTCCATCATTACCCTTATTATTTTTTGCTGTTTTAGTGTATAAAACGATCATTCGTTTAATATTGATAGTGTAATTGAACTTACAGGATTCATCATTGCAGGTCCTTAGGTCTTTGATATCACAGGTGATATTCCCCAGATCTGTTGCCCTAAGGGATATATAAAATATTGTTGATATTTCTAGGTGGTATTATCAAAGAGAAGAAATTCCTGCCTTCACCAGATGTGTGGAGCATCTACAAATAAATAATGTTCTTTATATAAAAAATTGTGTACAAAAGGAGGCATCTATGGGGCTGTTAGTGTTTCTGGTGGTATCGTGGGGCCTTAGGTGCCTTGGTACATTGTCATGCTAGAAGGGATATTGTAAGGTCGCATGGAAAAGGAGGCTTTATGTGTGTGATTGCCACATACTGTTTTGCTTGCTGCTTTTTTCCCCTGATTCCTTTTTGTCATTGGATTAGTTTGTTTTGTTGTGTGGTGATTTGTGCTTTGGTTATTGTGTTGGTGCCAGAGTGGGAATCCAGTTCTTATTCATGCTGTGTTACAATTTGGCAGTTTATTGTCTACAAGGAAGCTTTTAGGAGTTGAAAAGTCAGTGTTAGTGTGCATTCTGCTCTAAACAAGCCATTTAAGCTGTAAACAGCATATATGCTAGTAAGTGTGAGATACCAAATGTTATTTAGATTTTCCAGGAAGAATCTCCTGAATGAGTCATTTAAGAAATCTTGAGTGTAATCTAATGTTAAATGATGTACTATTTATTTCACTATGTAAATGTCTGTTCTCATAAATTTATTTTATTATTTGGACATTGTGGATGGAATGTGTATTTAATGTGCACATTTATACACTATGATCATAATATTCTATTTTTAGGTGAATGTAAGGAACAAAAACTACTGCACTTGTGTCTTTTGAAGGCAGAGATCCTTGGACTTTAAAGGAAAACAATGTGCTTTGAAGGCACTTAGAGACTAGTAATAGTGAATGGTTTGAAGGGAAACCCATTCTCTGTCAACTATTAGCGAACATCACTCAGCTTGCTGTAGAGTAGTTCTGTCACAGAATCAGACATGTTCTTTGTTTGAAATTGTAATGGGCACCATAACAACCCTTGCTAACTTCAGTTCTTGGGTTGAGCAAAGCGCATAATTGGTCAAGCCTAATATAAATGTATCTGTTATGAAAATTGCCCCTTTGTGTGCCATTTTAAAGAAAATTTTCTTTGACAGTATTCAGTGCATCTATTCTATTTGTTAAAGGGCCGTGTAAGGTGTTTTTGCCCCTGTAATGATAATAGATGGTTTTGTATTTCAGGGGATTTGTCCACTTTCCCTCTACTGTCACTTGCCTTAAAAGGAAACTTGTACATTCTAATTTAGGACTATTAAGAGATGACCTTTGAAATGTGATTATTCTTAAATTTATTTTTGAGGGGATAGAACCTAGGTAAGAAATTAATTGTTTCAGTGGTCTTACACATCAGGAGGGAGGATAATTCACTTTGTTTAAAACAAGGTTATTTTTGTTTCTTATTGTTCAAATGGACTAGTAGCTGGATATGGTGATACACACTTATAAGGCCAGATACTCAGGAGGCTAAGGCAGGAGGATCACAACGAGTTCAAGACAAGTCTGGGCAACTTAGCAAGACCCTGTCCCAAAGGGCTGCGGGAGTAGCAGTGTGGTGAAGCGCTTGCTAACTTGTGGGAGGCCCTGGTACTGTCTCCAGTACCCAAATAAATAAATATATAAGTAAATGGACTTGAAGGTTAGGTTTGTGCAAAGATTGCTTTGAAATAAATAAGAGATTCGTTAGCCCACAGATGAGCTTTGTTGACAGTACCCCTTTATTTTTATATAGTCTTAATATTTGAAAAGTGGTTATTGTTATAAAATAAAATTATCTTTTCTTATTCTAATATTATATCATATTTCATGTTTCTATTTGAAAACAAATATGAGAAATAATATATTAGGAAAATCCTGAGCTGGGCGTGGTGGCGCACTCCTGTAATCCCAGCACTCGGGAGGTTGAGGCAGGAGGATCACTGTGAGTTTGAGACCAGCCTGGGCTACATAGTGAGTTCCAGGACAGTCTCAACTACATAGTGAGACCCTGTCTCAAAAAAACAAAAAAACAAAAACAACAAAAAAAAAGAAAATCCTACAGGTACTGTTTTGCCTTGATATGCAATCACTGTGTTTCATAATAGCTTTTGGAATAACAAAGTTATGTGAAATACTGGCTTTGTGTATATCTTAGAATGCAAAGTTAATAAAGTGTATATATGCATAAAATATAATATTTTAAAATATGAAGTACTGAAATGAATATATACTTCTCAGAAGAAGTATCAATGGCCAATAAATAGAAGAAAAAACGTTCAACGTTGTTAGCCATTAGAGAAATGCAAATTTATACAACACTGATATTTCTTTCTATTCCAGAAAGAATAATTATTTTCATGAAATCAAATAGTAACAAATTTTGGCAAAGCTATGTTGAAAAAGAAATCCTCCTGCACTATTGGTGGGAATGTAAACCAGTACATCCACTATGGAAATCGGTATGAAGAGTCCTCAAAAAACTAAAATGGAAATTCAATTTCATACAACTATTCTCCTACTAGATATCTTCCCCCAAAAGATAAATACATCATATTACAGTGGCACATATATACACATGATTACAGTAGCACAATTCATAATAGCTACATCTTAAAAGTGGTTCCCATGTTCATCAACAGATGAATGGATGAATAAATGTGGTATTTTCACACAGTGCAGTCATACTCTTCCATAAATAAAGATAAACAGGAGTCATTTGTAGGAAAATGGCTGCACCTTGAGACTATAATGTTAAGCTAAATAAATCAGACACTCATGCTCATATATTGTATGGCTTTCTTATATAAAAAAGCTCAAATTATATATACAGAGAAAAATAAAACATTTATAAAAATCAGGGAGATAGATCTTTTGCAAATGGGAAGGGAATGAAAGGATGGAGTGAGTAGGAGAGCCAAGAGGGAAAGGGGGTGAAAAAAAAGGAATTGAGATATGTTATGAACATGTATCAGCTTCATCCAAGGAAAGAAAACATTATGTACTATAATCACATACTGATAAAAATTTAAGAAATACAAAGAATCAATGAATCAAAGAGGTGGTTCTTTTAAGGAATAAACAAAATAGAAAACCCTTAGTTAAACTTACCAAAGGAAGAATAGAGAAGACTCAGATCAATGCAATTAGAGATGAAAAAGGCAAAATCAGAAAGGACATTGTCAAAACCTAGACTACTGTTAGTAATTACTGTGAAAAATTGTACTCCAACAAACTGGAAAATCTTGAAGGAAAACACAGTTTACTAAGCACAAGTGAATTATTGAAACTTAACCAAGACAATATAAAACCTCTAAACAGTCCAATAACAGACAATGAATTGAGGAAGTAATAAAAAAATCTATCAAATGAAAAAAGCCTAAGATATATTCACTGCTGAATTCTACAAGAGTTTCAGGGAAGTTATAACACTGATACTCCTGAAACTCTTTAATGAAATTGAAAAGGAAGGACTGCTGCCAAATTCATTCTTGGAAACTGATATTATCTTGATACTAAAATCGGACAAGGACTTAACAAAAAAAGAAAACTACAGGCCAATCTCCTTAATGAACATGGATGCAAACCTCCTCAACATGACACTGGCAAGCAGAATGCAAAAAATCATTGAATAAATCATTCGTCATGATCAAGTAGACTCTATCCCAGGGATGTAAAGATGGTAGAACATGTGTAAATCAATAAAAGTAATACATCACATGAACATAATCAATAAGAAACATATAATCATCCCAACACCCTTGATAAAATACAATACTTAGTCATGAAAAAAACCCTGAACTATACACATGCAAATGTTCAACATTGCTGTCCAATGGAGAAATGGAAATTAAAACAAGCTTTCATCTCACTACAGAAAAAATGGCTATCATCCAGAAACTAATCAGTAACAAATGTTGGTGAGGCTGCAGGAAGTGAGGTAAAGGAACATGTCTTCATTTTTGGTGGGAGTGAGAACTGGTACAACCACTATGGAAATCAGTGAGATTCCTCAGAAAACTAAAAATGGAAATTCCATTGAACCCAACTATTCCTTTTCTAGGTATCTTCCTGAAAGTGTTAAAGATATCATAGTGATAAATGCATATATGCATACCCCTATTTTATAACAGCATAATTCATAATAATTAAGTCTTGGAACCAGCCTATATGTCCACGAACAGATGAATGGATAATAAATTGTGGTATTTATACATGATAGAGTACTATTCTGCCTTAATGAAGGAAAAAATTGAGTCATTTGTAGGAAAATGGATGCACCTTGAAACCATATTGTTAACTGAAGTAAATTAAACACACATGCTTAAATATCACATGGTTTCTCTTACATGAAAAACTCAGTGTATAAATATAGTGCAACAAAAAAGACAGATTATATGGAACAAGAGAGAGAAAAGAATTTATTATAATAGATCATGGAAAATGTATCTAAAAGTGTACATTTATATAGGAAAATTTTCTTATATAGTTTGGCCTATTAGCCTGGTTGTTAATCTATATGTATGATAATTAATTTCATAAGTATTTATATGATAAAGAAATGAATCTAATGCTGGCAAAAGCAAAAGGAATGAAGGGGAAGAGGAAAAAATTGGGATGTGTTATGTACATGTAATAATTTTCCACAATTAGTATAACCATGTACAGCAAACATGTACTAACAAAAATGTTAAAAAGAAAATATGTATAGAAAGGCCACGCCTCCATGTAATAAAAACCATTTATGACAAACCAATTACTAACATCATATTAAAAGGTAAAATACTGAAAGCTTTCTCTCTAAAATCAAGAACAATTTGAAGATCCAAAAATCACCACTCCTGTTCAATACAGTAACATTAGCTGGAACAATCAAGCAAGAGAAAAAAATAAAAGACATGTATGGAAAGAGGAAAAATCAAATTATTGTAATTTGCAAGTTACATGATCACATTATCATTTATGTAGAAGACCAAAAACATAATCCCACCAAAAGATTTGTAGAATTAATAACCAAATTCAACAGTGCAGCAGGATACAAAATCAGCACAAAAAATAGCATTTTTATATACTAGTAATGAATCCACTGAGAAACAAATGAGGAAAAGTCTAATATTCACAATAGTATAAAGAAAAATTAAATACTTAATAGTAAACCTAATCGCAGAAGTAAAAGGGAAACTACACTAACTGAAAAAAGAAACCAAAGATTGATTAGAAATGGCAAGACATCCGCTTTTTCAGGCTAGGCCAAAGCAACACTATGAAAACGGTTATACTTCCAAAGTTGATATATAGATTGAATGCACTCCCGAGCAAAAACACAAAAAATTTCTAAAGTTCATAGGAAATCAGAAGAGACCGAGAATAGCAAAAGCGATCTTGAGGAACAGAAGCAAAACAGGAAGTGTCAAAAACTAAGGCTTTGAATTATATTACAAAGCGCCAGTGATAAAAACATCGTAATACTGACATAGAAACAGACATAAGGACCAATAGAACAGAATAGAGTTGTTATGGTGAACATCTTAGCCTTACAGTGATACAAACAGCTTGCTGTAGCACACGTGCCATACGTTTGACACCACTGCAGTAGAGGTTGCTTAAACAACCCCAGACCTATCCAGAGACTTGATCTTTGAAGAAGAAGCCAAAAAACAGGATGGAGGAAAGACAGCCTTTTTAATAAATGGTGCTGGGAAAATTGGCTATACCCATGAACAAGGTTCAGTCTTGATCCTTATTTGTCACTATGTACTAAACTAAAATGAAAATGATCAACTATCTAAATATAAAATAAAAGCATTTAACCTGCTGGAAATAAATAAAACTC